TTCAGTATCTTGCTGCCTGTGATTATTGTCATGGGGCAGTAATCCAACAAGTGACAACCAATAATGAGTATTTAACTGAATGGAATGTGGCACAATGCAGAGTTTAAAATGACAATCTGATGCATACATGAGACCAGGCAACAAAAATAGTCCAGCTTCATTGAAATTAGTTAAAATTTAATTTCTATCAATATACAGTTAAAATAGAACTCAAGCATTCTTCGGTATAATGAAAATCACATTTTGTCTTGCTGATGTAGGTTTTGTTCTTGTGAAATAAAAGACTTTTTCTGATGATGCCAGTTCATCGGCAAAGTAGAAATTTTCTAGATGGTTACTGTATTTCAAGAATATTAACTTTTTAAAAAAGATTACAACCTATTAGGGAGAAATATAGAAATAATGAAGGAATATTAATGAATAATCAACATACAATACCAACCAGGCACACTTTTTCATTTCACCAATATCCGTAAACCTTTAAAGAAGATTAAGGTCCAAACATTTGCAGATGATTTAACCTAGTATTTCATGTTAATTCCAAACATTTGTTCTATTTATTATGCAATTAAAATACACTAATAAATCCAATGCAAAACTTAAATTATGTGAACATTTCAAAAATCAAACATAAATACAAACTCTATAAGGTATATATATGATATCTACACAACCAATATGAACAAAACCATATAAAATTTAAAAAACTGATATACATAAACACAGATGCCATAAGATATACACATGGCATCCATACAGCCAATAAAAACAAAGCATCATAGAATTTAAAAATTGAAATATAACTCTGCATTATTTCACTTCCAAAAAATGTTTCTGATGAAGCTAAATTAAATAGCAAAACATGACCAAACATAACATTTTCTGACAACTTTCTTTGGTACTGTAACTGTCTACTTTTTGGTATGAGGTTAATTGATCTCAGTTCACAACTTGAGTGTACATAAAAAACTCATGTATGCATTACTGTGTATGCTAAATTCATCATAATCAGCTTGACCAGAAAACTGAACACCAATTTGGCTTGGCTGGTTACAGCAGTTCTTGCCACTGCCCAGTTATTGCTTGCCTTGTTTCCACTAAGAATTACTTTGCCCGGGGATTGAACTTACAATTACTCTACCACCAAATTCACAAGTCAATGCTTTACTTCACTAGGCTATTGTTCCATGACACAATATGTTTGCCTGCCTGCTGCTGACTCAGCTGCTGCTGTTATCTTCTTCATTGCTGTTTCTCTTTTCTTACTTTTGCTGCTGCTACTGAAGCCTTGTCAGGCTAGAAATAACTGAGCAGTACTAAAAAGAACCAGACAAGATGTCCCTAGGCATGGACAGCAGAATGAGAACAATCTAATCCTGTAGATTAAAGAAAGGGATTGGTTCTAAATTCATTGAAGGTTACCTGGATTGCTAGACACCTGAAGAAGGCTGGAGGACAAAAGGAATGAAACAATTTGATAATAACAGCAAAGATGATGACATTAGTTTGGATATAAATAATTAATACTTTTCATTCAAGAAATTAGGTCAGAAAAGAGAAGAGATGTAAAAAGGATTTACTTAGTTGCTTATCTAATAATTAATTGGCCTGAATATATCAAAGCTGACCATGGATGTATCAGCTGTTTATGCCAAGTTAATTATGGCACAGTAGATTACCCATATATTCACTTGCCTATATTTCTCTCTATCAACAAACATGGTGTACTATTGATAAAACCATGATGTTTTTTAACTCCATATCCCTTCAGGAAGTAGGCAATCATGGCTCTCCACAAACTCCTTCTGAATTTGCTTTTCTCCTAGTCTGGCTTACATTTATAGAGCCCAGTCTACTCTTCTATTTAGCCCATAGCTAGAGGGGAGGAAAGAGAAGAGATGAATTCATACCTTTCCCAAGTGCAAAAGTGAATGTAATAGGTGAAGCTGGAATTTGAACTCTTCTAATTGATTCTACTTCCCATAATGATAATGGTTGTGCTACTGACACACATCCTCCCATGGTTAAGTGGTAATTAATCAAAGTATGGGAAGAGTTTGCCTTTCTAAAAAATATTAGCACAAAATTCCTGATGAAATTTATCAATTGTGTTTCATGAGTACATAGTCATCGTTCATACACAAATGATACAAAGAAAAAGGCAAGTCTAGTCATGATGGCCTCACTCTCAATTTTCATAAGGTAGTATTCGTATAAAATTCAAATTTTATTTTAACCTAATTATGTACAATAATGGATCAGATGCAAAATAGTTGAACAATTCAACTAGAAAAACTGAAAATAAATACAATGTATCTAAATACAAATTCGAGACATGTCATAATAGATCATTCCATCTTAAATAAATCAACAATATTTTGCGGCAATTTTTAACATTAACATTAATTATTTACTTATTAACTGTACTTGGCCCCCAGCCTCAAAGTATAAGCAGTTATGCTCTACACTTTATAGTTGAAGTGCCAGAGAAGTGACATTTTTTATCTTACCCTGGGGAGTTTTGATCCATATGTAAATAATGCTGTCATTTCTTGTTTGGTATTATACTAGTTATGAAATACTTTTTACAAGCTAAATCATGTAATTATGTAGGGGAGATAACTATGGTTATTTTTTTTTCTATGCTAATGTTTATTGACGCCTTTTTCATGTGATGCAATTGTTTGACTGAATTGCTTGCTTGAATGCCGCAAAAGAAAAACAGATATTTTTTCATTGAAAATACTTTAGGAATAAATTATGGAAATTTGAATGAAAGAGGTGTAAGTCTGTATTGGAACTGATAAAAGATTTTGTCTTTTTTTTGTTTTTGCTGTGCTATTGAAAAAAATAATTAAGAATATTTAGCAAAAAAAAAAAAAGAATATGTTAATATTGTTGTCAGTTTAATTAGGAGAAATTTATTGATGAAAATAAAAGTATTTGTAAAACAAAAACAAACGAAAAATAAAAAACTAACTCCAGCTGAGTCAAAATAAAAGCAGAAAAGCAACTTTGGAAATGAACAAAGATAGTTTTCCTGTCTTCCCATTTTTATCTATCTATTTTAGTCTAACAATCTGTGCCTATCGATTCTAGTATATAAATCTTTAGTAACTATTTGTCATGAGTAACAAAGAAATTTTATAAATAGTTTTGGATTTCACTACTGTTTACTAGGCACACAGGAAGACAACAACTTGAATAAAACTTACTGATAATTATGGTGACAAAGGATGAATTCAAAGAAAATCTAAGAATAACAAATAATAATTGCTAATTATTGTGCTAGATCCACCTTCAATGAGCAATTACATTCAACCTCATTACAATTAAGAGTAGATAAAATGATAATAATACTTCAATTAAGGTGATCCAATTGTTTAATGAGTCCTGAGGTGTAATTGTCAAAATATTGCATCATTAGTTATTCAGTTAGGCTTATTCCATTTAGTTAACTGTTTTATTCAAGTCATTGGGCTTGGAAAATGGTAGTCAAGCCAAATATTACTTATCTATCTAGATATTAATATGGAATTGATAAACACACGTACAATTCTGATAATTACGGTGACAAAGAATAAATTCCTAGAAAACTTAAGAATAATGACTAATAATTTAATTGCTAATTATTGTGCTAGATCCAACTTCAATAAGCAATTATATTTAACCTAATTACAATTAATATTAGATAAACTAGTAACAATACTTCAGTTATGGTGATCCAATTTTACAATGAGGCCTGAGGTGTATACTTGTCAAAATATTGTGATGAGATTGCATCACTGTTTTAGTTAATTTGGCTTATTCGAATTAGTCAGTAGTTTTCAAGTCCTTGTCTATTTCCAGAACCATGTAGTTTGTAAACAGTAGTCAAGGCCAGTTTTGTTACAGAATTAATAACTTTTTGTTTAATTTTCAAAGATAAGATAATACTGCTATTCAAGGTTTCTTTTAGACTAGCATCTCCATTTTGTATGTTTGATTCACAATGTGTTGAAGAAACTTAACCAACTCATTGAGATAAAAAATAACAAAATGCATACATGAAGAAATACTAAACAGTAAATTTGAATATCAAGCCATCTTTTTTTTTTTTTTTTTAAGGATTAGCATATATTTCTGCGTATAAGATGATCTTTAAATCACAAAAATTACTCTCAAAAATTGGGGGTTGTCTTATACTACAATTCTAAAAAAGGAAACTTAAATTCTGAGTGATGTTTGCCAGTAGGCTAATCTCAGCCTTGGTGTGATAACCAATAACATACATGAAAAGATTTACATTATCAAATAAACTGAGTAATAAAACCATTTCTACCTTATATATTACTGGCATAACTTCATAATAAATTGTCTATTTGAAGAATATTTCCATATCAATGAAATCAACTTGTATCCATGCAAACTCAGCTGAGAAAATGTAAACATTGAGTTATGATTGCAAATAAAAAAAAAATGTTGAAAGTGGAATGTACTATTATCATACATTATCGTACTGTTATTAGCAGTATTTTATGATTGTCAACGAAGTATAAGTAAATGGCCATTAGTATACTAGGCTGTTTGTAACTGTTTAGATATAGGACAAGAAGAAGAAGAAGAATCGGTATTCACAAGAGATCCCATGATGAAATGTAAATAAAACAATGGTTTCCCTTTTAGGGGAAATGTGTAGGAAAAACATGATATGGAATCGGTTTTGTTATTTTGTTTATTTTTAATTTTTAAAGATACAGTAAGTAACAACATTGCCAATAACATCATCTTTATATAATCAATAAGCAGTCATCTTATGCTACAGATATTGGATAAATTCATAAAAATTTGCTATATTTTTTTACCTCCTCTCATCTAAAGGTTGCCTTATATGTGGAAATATACAGTAATTGTGTTTGTGTAGCTGTAGTAGGGTTCATAAGCTGGTTAAAAATGAAACACAAATAAAAAAATTGCTTTGTAGAAGTTCTAACTTGATAACAACCATTTTTGCATCTTAGATTGCTGTGAACAAGTTGGCAAAGATGGGATCCCCAGTGAGCTGAACGAGTACATACCAAAATCAGCACTCAGCCGGGAAAGCCAGCGCCAGAAACGGCTGGAACAGATGCGACAATACCAGCGCCGGCGACTGGAACACGAGACACCAGATGAGCGCCAGAATCGACTGCATCGAATGCGTGAGAATGCACGTCTACGCTCAGAGAAAAAGCGGCAGATGTCACAGTTGCTACGAAATGTCCAACCTGTCCGAAAAAGACTTTCATCGATAGACAAGGATAATATGATGAGATATCAGCCATTGAGTGACCGTGACAGAGAGACTAGTTGGTCATGCCTGGAACAGAACCACAAAGAAAAGTCCGAGGGTTTTTCCTATATGTCCCCAGGGGACAAAGAACAACAGGATGATTACTCTTATCTGAATGCAAATAATAAAACTATCACAGATCGAGATGCAGATTATTCATTTATGAAGCCAAATATATCTCAAGTCCAGTCAAAGGATAATCCAGAAAGGGGCAGTGTGTTTCCCTGCATGGATCATGTGCAGAATAAAAACTCACCAGAAAGGGGTGGGGTCTTCCCATGTATGGAAGAAGCTAATAATAAGGATATCATTGAGAGAGGGAGAACAGGTGGACCAGTTTTCCCTTGCATGACCCAGGCCTTAAATAAAGACACTCCTGATAAGGGAACTGGGGTCTTCTCCTGTATGGATCAAGAACAGAACAAACGAACATTGGATCGACCTGGCTCGGTGTCTAACATGAGCCAAAACCAGAACCCCACTCCCAACCCAAATCAAGTGCAGAGTAAGAGCTCAGCACTTGACAATAGAGGAACAACTTTCCCCCACCAGTATATGATCCAGTCCCAGAGCAAGGATGTCATTGATCGAAACATCAACAACAACACCACCAGCACCTCCACCACCACCACCAACAACAACAACAGTAGCAATAGTGGCCCAACTATATCAGGAAGCAGTGGCATGATTTTCCCATTTTTAAGTACCTCTCAGAACCGGAACATTCCAGATCGAGAGATGGGTGGGTATCCTTGCAGCCTGACCCCAGATCAAAGCAGCAGGGTTGGAAGCTTTTCTTATCCCAACATGTGCCACAGTCTGGGTATCACAGAACGAGATGGAAGTTACTCTTATATAAAACAAACTCCAGACATGCGGAAAAAATATTCAGAGTCTATGCACCGGAAGAAAAGTTCTGAAATGTCTATGGCATCTGCATTTGCTTCAATTAATAAGTCTAATGGCGGTACAGGCAACACAATGGCTGGATATTCTAAACCAGAACAGAATTATATGTGCATCTCTTGTGAAAGACCCTTGCCAAAAGATCAATTAAGTAGATTTACTGCCTTCCCTTTATCAATAATGGTCGGATCAGGCACCGATAAGATTTGTGATGACAACAAACAGTGGATCTGTAAGACGTGTGAGAAGCTAAAAAGAAACTATCACCTTTTTCCGAATCCGGTCAGTTGAGTGGCAATAAAAGAACGCAAATTACAAAGTGGTCACTGCTGGTGATTGTCCAGTTGCTCCCCACCCACTCTCAGTTGAGTCTGGCGATATTCAGCTTTATTCTTGAAATAGTAAAAAGAAAAAAAAAACCACGATGACCACTTCTTTAAACAACCCAGCTTGTTTTTTTTTTCCTCTCTCATTTTCCTGAACACTGACCAATTCTACCCCACTAAAATCGTCCCAAACCTACATTTATTCATGCATACACATACCGAAGGATAAAGATGAGTGTATACATGCTTGAATATATCATGTACATATAATACACATATAAAAATATTTGTACATGCATATAACCATTTATGAGTACACATATTTTGGGGATTCAACCCTGTATAAATGTTAAAACATATATACAGATGTATGTATGTAGATACATACAAACATAAATACATATATGATGTGGTATTGGAAAGTTCCTGGACTAGGCTGAAAAAGTATTCTGTTAGTCCAGTAAATAATGTATTTTATATATTATTCAAACTTGGCTACCATTCCCTTTGAAATAGTCCACTTTGGAATCATATACAGCAGTCTCAGTTCCTTGTCCATGTCTCATTTAGTTTCAACAGTTCGGGGAGATAAACTTTGCAGCAATACAATGCATGTTCAGGTTTTCAGTGAGGATCTCCTGGCTGACTTCATAACCCATTCCAGTTGTTTGAGGGAGCTGATAGATTACTCAGTGATAGTTCTCATGGCTGAATTTACAAATATTTTTTTTTTAGATTTTCTAGCGTTTTGCTGGTAAACACTGGACAGTCATCACATCTGGCCTTGAAACATGCAAGTCACTTAAAAACCAGTGTTTAACATAAAAAATGTCCACCTCACAAAGCAGATTGAGTTTCTCATTTACAGATTTGTCGAGCTTCTCACAATTGAATTTGCCAGCATCTGTAAAGATCGCAGAGCCATTCCAGAACTGATGTTACAGAACGTCACATAATGATTGAACACAAGTAGATAGCATGAAGCCTATTGGCAGACTGACTCAGTAGCCGTGTGTGCATTTCTTTTGAATGGTACAGTTCTCAGTATCATCTGGGAACTTTCTGATACCACTACATATATGTGAGTATATAACACACATTTGAATGGAAAAAGAAAATATTCTCTTATGCAAAAACATCCATATCAATTCCTCATTATTTTTTTCTATTAATTAAACAAAAACAAAATTAGCTGATTTTTTTTTTTAATAATTTGATACAATCTTTGATCCAGCCACTGTAAAGTTTCAAGCTACCTCTGAGTGTTGCTACATAAAAGGCAAAATATTAAAAAAATGGATAAAAGAAAAAAAAGGCATCGAAAAGAAAAGACAAAAAAAAGATTATTCGTTCATGACACACAATTTTTCCTCCCCCCCACCTTTTATTGCCGTGTAGCAGAACAACTCAATGACAATTACATTCTTATTTCCTCATAGATGGTCACTTTTTGAATTTCTGTCCGGAAAAAAAAAGAAAAAAAAGTTTCATTAAGTTTCTTTTTCCATTAAAAAATTTTTTTACTAATTTTTATTTATTTATTTGTTTTTTTGAATATCAATTTTTTTCCTTCAGTTAATTTCGGTTGGTTGGTTTATTTTTATTATTTAAATTTAGTTTTTAATATACTTGTTTCATATATATGTGTGCATGTGTGTATATATACATATATGTGTGTGCATGTGTGTATATATACATATATGTATGTCTATGTATATATACATATATGTATGTGTGTGTATGTATATATGCATATGTGTGTGTGCATATGTATATATGCACATATGTGTGTGTATGTATATATGCATGCATGTATGTATGTATGTGTGTGTATGTATATATGTATATATATGTGTGTGTATGTACATATGTATGTGTGTATATATCTCTGTGTGTGTGTGTATATATATATATATATATATATATATATATATATATATATATATATCAATAAGACAAAATGAAATCTTTTTCTTTAAAACCCTAAAGAACTTTATCAAGGTAAATGTAAAGGCATTTATTTTGCAACAAGTATTTATTTGTTACAAAATAAAATCCATGACATTTACCTTGATAAAGTCCCTCAGGGGACAAAACATGTCGGTAAAGAAAAGTTTTCATTTTGTCTTTGTTAATCTTGTCTTTTTACAGATATATTTTTATTTATATTTGAATATTTTTACACATATGTATGTTATGTGTGTGTATATATATATATATATATATATATATATATATATATATATATGTGTGTATATATATATATATATATATATATATATATATATATATATATATATATATATATATATATATAAATACACATGTGTTCTCACACACACAAACACATATATGTATAAATATTTATTTGAAATGTTTTTAATCAAAAATGAAAAAAGGTCATCTATATTTACTTTTTTTCAATAATATTTTTTTTCCTTGAAAAAAAAACAATGATCATTGGGATAATTTTTTTCATATTAATAATTCTTTAAGCAGTTTTTATTTTACAAATATTTCTTTATTTTAGAAATTTTTAAATGAATTATTTTTTCCTTTTTTTCTTCTTTTCAAACAGTTTTATTTAAAAAATAATTCTTTTGATTTAAAATAAAAATTCATTTTTTCTCTGTTCTCCAACAATGAAACCAACTCCTTTCTCATCAAATTTTTATATTAAGAAATTTCTGCATTGTACTGCTGTAGCAAAAAGACAAAAAAAATATTACTACTTGCCTCTTCATTGCATAATGATCAAAAAAAAAAAGCAAAAAAAAAAAAAAGCAAAAATAAAACATGAGAAACAAAGAAAGTAAACATGATGACAACCAAATGGACTTTTTTTTGTTAGAAAAACAAAGCAAAACAAGAAAAGAAATTCTTTCTTCTCACTTTCTGTAACTTTACAAATATGAAGAAAATACTAAGTGCATGTTTTTTTTGCTATCTTCATGTGTTTGTTTTTCCACAACATTGGGTGACATTTTCTAAATTCTTTTTTTTTTTTTGTTCATTTCAATGAAATGTCCCATTGGAATGACTGAACATTAGGCTAGCTGGACTATTTTTATTCATCTTTGGCATTTTCTTGTCACATTTGGGAACTGTCACCATCATCCCATGAAGCATTTTTTGCAATAAATACCGTTACAACAAAAGTGGTAACAATTATTACAATAACATTAAAAGTAAAATTTGTGTATTAATTCTTATAATCATCATAATTATTCTAATCATAGGGGAGATTGGGGAGTAATCAACGTTTTAAGTGTCAATTAATTTTTTTTAGTATTCCATTATTTTATATTCATGATTTTGACTTTATTTTAATATAAAAAAATGAAAAGGGCCTCTTTCAAGTATGTATCTGTTCTTCCTTATCTACAACCAATTGAAACTGCTTCATATATGAAAAGCAATCAATTTTTATTAATTCTGAGGTGTTGATAGCATAAATTTGTGACTAGAAAAGTCATAGGAATAAAATGTGTCATAGAAGAAAAATCATAGGGTATGCTTTGTTAGGACAGGAAAAGTAATAACTTTGGCTTTTGAGTAAGAAAGAAAAAACACTGAGAAAATAAGCAATGTTTTCGTTTAAAATAAATATTTTTAATAAAATAAGTAATATTTTAATTCAGTATGTCTTAATAAAATAGATGTGTGTATTGCCTAACTATTATTGGTACAGAAAGTAGAATCGACAAGCTATGTTCAAATTCCTGCCACATCTGCTGCATTCACTACACAAATATCTTCTTCCAGCAATGGATTAACTCGTAGGGTAGATTGAGCTGTTAACCTTGTGTGGCAGTCAGTCCAAAAGGAGAAGTCTGAATTCAAAACCGGAGAGACTGCCATGGGAAACAACTCCAATATCATGATATTTAAGTCTTTGATAAAAAATGGATTATCTGCTCTTGGCTTTTGAACCGTAGCTGAAAGAAGCATGCCTCTGGACTTTTAGTAACAGAGCGGAAAGTCATGGAAATACACAGATATTAGAAAAAGTTAAGGATACTGTGGTGAACCATTATCATCTATGTCCTGATGGGATATGGCATTTAGATAAGACATTTTAATATATCTTAATAAAATAAGTCATTTAATTTATAATGAAATTAATATTTTAATAAAATAAATTTTGATGATAAATCTTATTTGTAGTAATTGAAGAAATGTTTCAATAAATTTAAAAATATTACTTACTTCATTACTATAAATTAACTATGACTTTTTATTCAAATAATTAATATGTCTAAATGAAATCATTTTTAATAAGTAAAAAATAATAATATTTAATATAACTAAATAAAATCAGTCATACTTAATTTGTTTAATTTATTTTTATTAATTTATTTAATATAGATTAAAATATTACTTATTCATTATTTATTAAAAAATATTGCCTGTAAATTTTTAAAAAAGTAGATGTGTATAGTGTAGTGGTTATCAGTACAGACAGTAGAGTTGGCATGCTGAGTTCAAATTCAGACTGAGTTCATTGCATTTACTTTTGCACAAGTACCCTTGGGAAAAGTATGAATCTATTTCTTCTTCCCCAAGCTACAGGTTAAATAGTAAGGCCTTGGTTTGTAACTAGTCTAGAAGAAGGACAACTTTGAATTCAAAACTAGTTGGTTATGGAGCTAGCAACCATGCCACATAAAAAAAAACTTATTTACTACAGAAACCACAGCAGCAACTCCACAAGGGAGTTTAAAGAAGTTAGAGAGAGAGAGAGAGGGAGAGGGAGGATGTGTGTGTGTGTGTGTGTGTGTGTGTGTGTGTGTGTGTGTGTGTGTGTGAGAGAGAGAGATTGTTTTCTCACTGATGTTTTTCTTATTCACAGCCAAAAGTTATGACTTTATTTCCTTTTATAACCTTTTTTTTCCTACCCTAACACAGTGTACTTTATTATTTTTCTTCTGTGACTTTTTTCTTAGAATCCTCAAAACAGACTGAGAAATATTGGTTTCAATTTACAAAGACTTAAAATCAGGATTTCACTCTGTATTCTTGACCCAGTGAAAATAAAAAAAAAATAAAAACATTGAAAAAAATCATTATTGTTGAAACAACGTCCATCACTGTCTAGCAGACTGCTGCTGGGACAGTAACAAGAAACTCTGGCTCTTGAATTCAAAGGAACTATGTTCGCAGTTAAATCTATGACACATGTGCACTTAAAGGAAAAAATATATCTACATTAAAGAGGTAAATCAATTTTTTGATTTAACTATTTAATTGAACATTCAAATGTTCAGCTGATTCAGTGATTAAATTAAACAGTATATGATTATTTGTCAATTCCTTTCAGCACATGCAAAAATGTGTACATGTGCTGTAGAAAATGTCACAATTTTTAAGAGGGATTTATTTACCTTTACCCAGTTGAAAAATTCATTTCAATTATTTTTTTCTTTCTACAGATGGAAATCAAGCTAAATCATGAGTGATGAATTATGTTGTATTGTTGGTGAGATGCTAAAAGGGCATAATTACATTTTTTGTGAAATGTGAAAAAACACCTTAAAGATAAAAATTCAGAATAAATTTTTTTTTTAAATTGGGGCCTAACTTCACAAAAAGTCTTTGTACCAATATATTCTCCCTGTTTTAGAGATCTGTTTACTCATTTTGAAAATGAAAAAAGCCTGCAAAAAAGGGCCTATGCCAACTTACACCCTTTTAGAATCACATTAACGGTATGCTGTAAACATATTGTATGTATGGATTTGAAATAATGTAGTTCTATTGATTATATTTGATTATTTTTTTGTGATAACAACACCCCAGAATTTTTAAGAAGGAAGTTTCTATTTGATGAAATACAATGTTTATAGATCGGTGACCTCTGTTGCTCTTCAGAAAGAAGTAAAAAAAAAAAAAAAAATTACTGAGGACCCCCAACACAAGAAAAAATAACTTAAAAGAGAAAAAAAAAAATTTTCTGCACATACAAGTAATTGATATGTTGGACATATTGTGTGTATGTTATAGATGCAAAAAGGCAAAAAAACCCCAAAAAACACATCATCAATTTTTGGCTATGTCTTGAAGGACACAGAAGTGCCAATAAAAAATACAAAGACTGTCATTATTTTATTTTATTTTATTTTATGATTATTATGTACATGTGTGATAAATGTTTCTACTAGATTATTTCTGAGATGAAGAATCATTTAGATTTGGGAAATTTCTTCGGGTTGTACACATATGAGAAAAATAACTGTATCGACAGCTGCTATTACAACACACATTCCTCAAATGTTTTTTTTTTGTGTAGGAGATGCTACCCAAGTGTTCGGAGAATTTAGGTATTAAATAAAATTTCTCAAGGTAAGAAAACAAGTTCTTGATTTTCTGTAGAGTAATTTTCGGATATGTACAAAATGTCCTGCAAAACCTGGGAAATGGTTTACTTGAAAGATTGATCAATTTGAACTTTTAGATAGCACCTCCTACAAATCTGTCTATGTGTTTGTATATGTCTAAGTCTTTTCATATCTATCTATCTATCTATCTATCTATCTATCTATCTATCTATCTATCTATCTATCTTGTGGAACCCCCCGGTGATGGGGTGTGATATAATATAGCCTGTGCGCCCAAATAAAGATAGTCACAGGAGGCCTTTTTATGTTTATAAATTAAAGATGTGAAATCTGACAGGTCAACAAGAAGACAACAAATGACAAAATTAAAATTAATACAAAATTTATTTACATAGTATACAAAAGTATGTGCTTGGATTAAAGGAACATGAAAAAATAATCAATCAAGGCAGAATTAAGTAAATTGAGGAATACTGACTGGCTAAAAGATCAAGATGGTATAACTGTGACTAAAGGATAAAAGTAGAGTCTATGTAAATTAAATTAGTATGTAAGTCCATAGTCTGAAAGTTCAGTTCACATGTCTGGCAAAAGTGTTGAAAAGTTGCTGGTTAAGTCCAATAGTGAATCTTCTGTAGTATTTTAACCGAAGTGTATGGAATAGGTTATTTGAAGTCTGAACACATAAGCATGCAGCAATTTCCTAAACCAGGTGATTTAGGTTGGCAGGTAAGCAGGGAATTAGTGTAGCTGGAAGTTCAGGGCTGTTGTAAGCAGGTCCATTAACACCGATCAACCAGGTGAGTTAGGTTGAGATTGAGATGCCGAAAGTAGGGACCAATGTGTAGCCGGAAGCAATAAAGGCCAGGAATGCCAGAAGATAAGGATTTGTGGTAACTGGATGTAAGTATCTATGATAGCCGGAAATAATGAAGGCCAGGAATGCCAGAAGACGTGATAGTCGGGAGTAATAAATAATCTCGTCACAATATTTTGACAATTACACCTCAGGCCAGTGGCGGACCTACATTTTAGGATGCGCCAAAGCTTGAACAGATATAGGGGCCTCTTTGCAACCTGTAATAATAGATTTGAGGATCCACCTACCAAAATGTAGGCTATGAATAGATTCTGGTGAGCTCAATGTGCCCATACAGCTGGAGATTCACATGCTTCAAGCACCTATGCAAATTTTGAAATTTGACCCATTACAGTGGAAATTTGAGGTCATATGAAATGTGTATTAAAGCATATTCAAAGGCCAACATTAGCTACTTCAACCCATTGGCTTATGATTATACCACTAAAATGGCCTTATTTTAATAATATGCACTTAAAAAAAAAGCAATTGATTTTGTTGAAAGATTCACTCATTAAAAAAAGTTGTTTCAGGGATCATTCTGAGATTAGGGGCCCTGAAGCTTAAGATTCATTAGTTTCATAGTAGATCTTTAACTGCCCTACGTCTCATTAAAAAAATCAGATCATCATAATTGAACTATTGTTATGACTTTCATCATAATTTTATTCAGTTAGCACAATTTGCACCACCACTATTGTTACCACTCCTCTCCATCTCACAATGGTAACATTCAAAATGGAACAGTGCAATGACTTGCCGGTTCCTTTTACACCAAGGATGATGAGGTTACCATGTCCCGCCTCTCAGAGATGGAATTGTTTTTGAAGATAACTAGCCTTTACCTACAGAGGCCAGACCTACAAGCTAGCAGTTGGTTTGAATTCAGAGTTTCCTTCTACTAGACTAGTTGCCACAAAGGCTATAGGACCCAGTCTTTACTACTATTTTACCCACTGTTTTAGCTACTGTTAATTGTACTACTTACATTGTATATAATTGCTTACTGAAGATGGATAAATTTACATTATTTACAATATTCGGACTGTTATCCCCATCTTCATTGCCACATTCACAACGTTTCAGCCATTGTATGCTCCGGCCTTCTTCAGGTGATTGAAATTTTGAACCAAACCCTTTTGAATGTTGCAATGAAGATGAATAATAATGTAAATAATAATAATAATAATAATACCTCATTTCAGAGATATAGACAGATATTAAAGGTGGATCTAGCACAATAATAGGTGAGGTTTTTTTATTTGAATTATTAGTTGTTACCCTTAGGTTTTCTTTGAATTCATTCTTTGCCATTGTAATTATCAACATTGTGTGTTTATTAATTCCATTTAGTTAACTGTTTTATTCAAGCCATCTGGGACTATGTACCTGCTAAATAATAGTCAAACCCGTTTTTATGAAGAAGTTACTTTGTTAAAAAAAAAAGCACAGATAGTGAAAATATTTTTTACATAAGCTCACTCCCTTTATTTAATTTTATGACATTGCAATGAATATCAATCTCAACTAAAAGATGTTTACATTTTAAAAGATAAATCTATAAAAAATTTGAATCAATTTAATTTCTTTTATGTTATTTATATAATTTGGATTGTTATACTCATCTTCCTGAAGATGAGGATAACAGTCTGAATAAAGTAAATAATCATACCTTATCTCAGAGATATTGATAGTTAATTTTTTTTTTCCAAAATTTATGGAATGAAGGTTAATTCCTTAGAATCGGAAAATCTAATTTCATTATTTATTTAATATTCAATTATATATTAAACCTTGTTCCAGAAATTCATGTCACTTTTTGTTTTTAAATAATGTTCACCTAATTCAAAGTTCAAGAGCCACTCAAGGTAGAGCATTACTGATATGCAAGAGGCTGAGGTAAGAAATGTATTTTATGAGGATATGTAGGAGAGATAATGGGTAATCCTAGACTTGAAGAGGTTAAGATTGTACCGGTAAGAGAGTATGTTCTATCAAATAGCGGTTCTTGGGAAGAAGCTAAGTGAAACTTTTTTTCTTACTAATGGAATAAAAAGGGAATGGAGATGATTTGTCCCACTATGGCCTCATATGTGATAAATGTTTAGCTTGTAGAGCACTGTGGCGGTGATGAGTATGTATTGTAGAATAACACACGTGGGTAGAAATTTCCTGCTAGCCGGTCCAACAACATGAGAAAGTTGGACTTGAATTAAGTCCAAAGAAAACAAACAAGACCGATAAATATATGCAAACAAATATATGTATTAACAACAAGTACAAGTTACATTGAGTGGACAGTTACATGGACAGTGTGTGTGTGATGTTTATTATCTGTGTGTTGTGGTGAGTGTTCGTACGAACGTGTATTGTTCTTAGCGTGTTCCCAGAATTTGGGAAACGCTGTATCTGTGAGAGCTCACATCTGCAAGGTGGTATAAGGCCCGAGGAAAAAGGAAGTTGATGCGAAGGGTCAGCCGGTATTTATAGCCAGGGGAGAGAGACCCCTGGTGAAGGGTTAAGGAGCTGAGGAGGAGCTAACTCCGACAAGCTTTATATGTGAAGATTAGCAGTACAGTTTTCACTTAAAGGGATTTATGAAGAATCTGCTATTTATTTTATAGAGGCCGATAATGACTGATTTAAAACCCCCGAGGAAGGCAGAAGGGAAAAGATTATCCACTCCTTAAAGATTAAGGAATTTAGCATCTAGTTTAAAATATCTGATGACAATGACTTGACTTAGACATGGAAGCTATGTGGTTGATGTCTCTAGCTTTTTAAAAATAAATATTTAAAAAAAAATATAATTAATAAATTACTCTTCTGTTAACTTGGGGCGCACCTGGCTATCTTTCAGGGCGCATTTGTGCGTCTGGGCGCAACGCTTGAGGACCGCTGGACTAAAATGATGTTCACGTTGAGGCGACTACACACGTGAACAAAGAAAAGGCGACGCTGAGAATTTAAAATATAATTTTTTTTAAAATACCGTATATACTTTAGTATAGTGTGAGTTTTTATGATCGCTTTTTGACGAAAAAATAGATGGTCGCATTAAACATAGGTGATTTTTTGGAGAGGTTAAAAGTCATGCATTTTTGGTAACCTGTTGCACTATACGTAAATATAGAGGGGTTAAAATTCATGCAGAAAATTTCAGGGGCTGCACTATACATTAGTTAGCTTATATAGCGATTTTCGATAAGGCACAAGGCCTAAAGTAGGGGGCACCTAGTGAGGATCGAACTCACTTCTCAGTCGTAATTGTTGTAGCGAGACAAGCTTGCTAACCATTACACCGCCTCGAGGTTTAAGTTATATATCTAGGTATGTAGTCTAACCGAATTCAGTTCATTTTTTTTGTTTAGGTTTCCATCGCTACATTTATTAAATATCCCACATTCTGATAATAGATTTTCTGCCACGAATGGTGAAAGGCTGAAAGGACTTGAACCCAAATTTACTGTGGATGATCTAGCGATTAAAACACTTTCTAAACATTTTCCGCCTAGTAAATTACTTTCTCTTTTAATTAGAGCAGCAATTTTTAAAAGCAAAATTATGGCCAGTCTCATTACGGTGACCAACTAATGCATTTAGCGTGTTGTTTTGTAAAAGATCCCTTTTGTGTTCATATAATTATTTATTTAAGTAGCAATGATACTGTGGCTCCCCAAGACATGCCAGAACTCAGGGCCATCATTTGATAAAGACTTTGTTGATGGTACTGTTGATTTTGCAACAGTCAGTATATGAATTTTATATTTATACTAGACCACACATGAACCTGTTTAGTTCCTTTTAAAAGCAGTTCATGATACAAAAATGATGAGGTAACAATATTTTATTATTAATTACGCATATTTTAATTTGTGTTTTAAAAGTTTTTGTAATAATTATTATTACTCGTATTATACAATATTATTTATATAAAATGCAATAAGAAATGAATAATAATTACTTTTATTATATACTCTTGTTTCTTCCTCACATTCAGTTAAAAAATACGTAACGGCGGCAAACCAACGTGCATCTATTTATTTACCATCAAGTCGTGTCGGGCATCTCGACGTGGTGTAATGGTTAGCAAGCTTGTCTCGTTAGAACAATTATGACTGAGTAGTGAGTTCGATCCTCACTGGGTGTCCCATATTTTCGGCCTTGTGCCACATCTAAACCAATATTAGAAAATCACTGCCATCAAGTCACGTGACACAATTTTTCAGCGATAAAGATTGCGTTTTACAATGACACATTCACATAACATCTTCACCTATCAAATACTTGCTAAACATCTGAGATATATAAAAAGTTCTAATGCAGTGTAAAGAATTGTATAAATAGCTTTTGTGTTATGCATATTTAAATTTATTCAGTAATGC